GAATTCGCGTTTTTTCTTTTGATTCTTTCAATTTTTCAATTGCATTACGCATTATTGCAATAATTTCTATCGTTACATTTGTATGTATTCAACGTTTGTTTGTTTTAGTGTCGTGAAATGAATTATATTACACATTTTCTCTATTCACACTGAATTTAAAGATTATAACGATTAAAAATCAAGTTGACCTGTGGTCATTTATCAAGAATAATCATAATAAAGCTGAAATTATTGTGTTAAATAATTTTTTTAATACGAATTAGGAATTTATTCAACGTTTGCTTGTTAGAATAGAACGATAAATTTAGTGTAAATATAGAAAACGTATAATATAATTTATTTCATGGTATTGTAACAAGCAAACGTTGAATAAATTCCTAATTCGTATTAAAAAAATTATTTAACACAATAATTTCAGCTTTATTATGATTATTCTTGATAAATGACCACAGGTCAACTTGATTTTTAATCGTTATAATCTTTAAATTCAGTGTGAATAGAGAAAATGTGTAATATAATTTATTTCATGGTATTGTAACAAGCAAACGTTGAATACATTTTTCATTCGTGTAAGAAGAATTATTTAACACGATAAATTTAGCTGTACTATGGTTATTTTTAATCTACGACCACAGGTCAACCTGATTTTTAATCCCTACGAAATTAATTTAACCACGAGTAAGTAACGAGAACGCTAAAACCTATGTTTCCATTGAAGAATATTGTAAAAACGTATAAATTGTTATATGCAATGTTATAACAAATTGTCGGAAGTATAAATTTTTAATAAAATTGTGAAAATTGATAAATTATACCGTGTTACGATATCGGAAATCTCCCGCGAAAATCTCCCGCGAAAATTTCCCGCCTGACCTAACCGACGATTTTGCTAATGACTTTGGGGAGAGGGTACCGCAGGTATATAAGGACCCGCCGATGTCCCGCGAAATCATTTACCCTTTATACTGGGCCCTAGACACTTCGCGGCGTATTTTGACCTGAAGGTTCTGAGATGTGAATAGAGTGGTCGGGGGCTACTAGCTAGTCTATGTCCACCCTGTACACACTCAGCCTTCTTGTAACACTTGTATACATTAGAATCAATTAGAATTTCTATTACTAATTATTAAACAAATTTTAACAATTACCGGCACTCGCTAGGCACGTAATATCAGACTTTAAATACTCGACTTCGAACTTCGGTTTAGTCATAATTCTATTAATGTTATAATAACGTATAATTTATTAATTTTCACAATTTTATTATTAATTTATACTTCCAAAAATTTGTTAAAACATTACATATTATTATTTATACATTTTTGCAAGTTTCTTTGACAAATAAGTACGTTTCAACGATCTTATTACTTTCTCGTTGTGAAATCAAGTTCGGAGGATTAAAAATCAGGTTGACCCTTGGTCGTAAATTTAAAATAGCCATAGTGAAGGTGAAATTATTATTTTAAATAAATGTTTCTATACGAATTAAGAATCTATTCAACGTTTGTTTGTTGCAATACCGTGAAATAAATTGTATTATATATTTTCTCAGTTTAGACTGAATTTAAAGTTCGTAAGGATTAGAAATCAGGTTGACCTGTGGTCGTAGATTAAAAATAGCCATAGTGAAGGTAAAATTATTACGTTAAATAATTGTTTTTATACGAATTAAATATTGATTCAACGTTTATTTGTTGCAATACCGTGAAATAAATTGTATTATATATTTTCTCAGTTTAGACTGAATTTAAAGTTCGTAAGGATTAGATATCAGGTTGACCTGTGGTCGTAGATTAAGAATAGCCATAGTGAAGGTAAAATTATTACGTTAAATAATTGTTTTTATACGAATTAAATATTTATTCAACGTTTATTTGTTGCAATACCGTGAAATAAATTGTATTATATATTTTTTCTGTTTACACTAAATTTAAAGTTTTGTTTACATGTTATAACAATTAGAATGTAGACGTTTTGCCGTTTCACGGTTTTTCCTCTGTTAATTATGTGTTTATAAATCATTTCAAACTAAAGCAGCACCATGCCCACCCTTAATTAAACCGTCTCAGTAGTTTACCGTAATTAATAATCTATTTTCGGAATTTATGCGAGAATTTTTGAATTTTAGTATATACTAGAGTCAGTGCATCGCGTATTGAAATAATAGCTTCATACCTAAATCTTTTGAAATTACTCTTAATTAGGGAAAATCTTGAATCTTGTATGGAAGATGAAGATTTTCAGGAAATATTTATTTTTCAACAATGAATTTTTGTTTTATCGATTAATAACGTACGAAATGATTTTTGGAAAATTTTCTTCGTTTGAACGTTCGTTTAAGGTTCGACTATGATTATCAAATCTCTCGAAACACCGTAGAATGTTCAATTTTAAAAGTAACTTCTTCAATTTTTGGATAATCTGGGTAACGTGTTAGTGTTGACGATACACTTTCGAGTATAGACGTTAAAGTTCATAGAGTGGTCGGGGGCTACTAGCTAGCCTATGTCCACACTGTACACACTCAGCCTTCTTATAACACTTGTATACATTAGAATCAGTTAGAATTTAAATTCAATAGACTGAATAATAATTCATTTTAACTAATACCTATTAGAAATTTTCCTTTTAAAACAAATATAAATCATTTTACCAATATAAAGCATAATACTATAATCCTATGCTTAAAATGTATTTTCTTGTGGCCGCCTGACAGCAACCTGTAAATCTGGCGCGACAGTGAACGTGTTAATAAGTAAATGTTGTTCAAATTATATCGTGTTTAATATCATTTTCATCAGAAAAGTCTCACCAACGTGTTAAAAAAAATCCCAGATGAAAAAAAGGAAAATTAAAGAATTTATATTTTTCTCTTATGATTTGTCGAGCCGTGAAATCTCGTAAAGGAAACCGACTGGTGTAGCATTACACGCTTGACTGACTGCGAGCGAAATAACATGGGCGCAGCCTAGGCGTAGAACCATCTATACTGTCACTTGTAAAATCGAAACTTACTGACTCTTGTAGAGAATTTACTGTACATCGCGACACATGTGAATCGAGGAGGGCACGGATTGTGTCGCATGTTAATTTTACGCGTGCGGTTTCTCTCTCTCTCTCGACTTCCAGTGCAAACTTCTGTCGCGAAACTTTTTCCCATTGCGAAAAGAACAGAAAATCCATCGAATGTTTTTAAGGTTACTATGTTTATCTTTAATCCGTATGATCGAATTATTTCTTCCAGATCCACCCGGTGTACCGTTCATCGATGGTTATACCGAGGGAGAGACAGTGAAACGTGGACAACAGGTGGACATGAACTGTCGATCTCGAGGTGGAAATCCACCCGCGCAAATTGTCTGGTACAGAAACAACGAGCAGATTAACACTGTGTATCGAACAGAAGGCAGCTATTCTGAAAGTATGTTGTCGATCATCGCTAAGGCCCAAGATAATAACGCCAAGTATAGATGCGAGGTGTCCAATATCATGAGCGTAGAGCCTATGAAGGTGAACGCGGATCTGACTGTGCTTTGTGAGTATTTCTGACGTTTTGTTCTTTTTTCTTTTTGTTTCTATTCTTGATATTTATTTTCAAATTAATCGTGTTTGCACTGTGGGATTTGACTTTTATCGTGTATCGACAATGAATCCAATGGAGGTTCATTTTTAATTGGTTTCTTTCAAGGCGAGATCGAGGAAATTATACCATGTGTCAGTTTGAATAAATATTTCACGTTTTTGAAAAGTATGACTTGTTTTAGGGAAAGTAAAGACTCGGTTTTTAGATAAGAATAAGAAACTCCTTTTTTCAACCATCTTGAAGAATTTCTATATTGATAAAGGAAACGAAAGAAATTATCCCAACGAAGGAATAAAAAGGAAATTTTTATTACTATCTTTTTCTAACATTCCATTAAATAAACGAATTCGATTCTCCCTCTTACAATAACAAAATATTTTCCATTGTATCCATCGATTTTTATACCGAAATACTAACCTAACCTAACACACACCAAAACACAAATGCCTTATATTGATAAAGAAAACGAAAGAATAAAAATTTCCTTTCTATTACTATCTGTTTCGAAGATTCCATTAAATAAACGAACTCGATTCTCCCTCTTGCAATAACAAAATATTTTCCATTGTATCCGTCGATTTTTATACCAAAACACTCTGCAGCCACACAAACAGAACAGTAATTCCCCGGCAGCCTGGCGTAGCCGAAACAGTCTAAAAGAAAAAAGAACACAAACCCAAAAAGTAAAGTAAACCGATTGGGGAACCACTTCTGCCCTGTCACCGTGTCACTCCAGTTCGTTTCCCCCCGGTATCCGTGGAAAAACTTTAATTCACTAACCGAAACTACAATCGTTTTCCAGTCGCGCCGTCCGGTGTGACGATCACCGGTCCAACAGAGGCGAAGGCGGACGAGCAAGTGGTGATCACATGCACCACGGAGAACTCGAATCCTCCGGCTGACATCAAGTGGACTGTGGACGGTCACAATTTCGAGAGCAACGCTTCCAGAACGGAGCCGGCGTCTCAAGGTGGCTGGATCACAACGTCGAACGTAACGTTCAACATAAACCGTACCAGCCGAAACATCGTGGTGATATGCGACGCGTCGAACGTCAAACTGACGGAGAACGTTGTCAGAACGCACACTATAACTGTGATCTGTGAGTAGTAGTACATACCACGGCGAATAAGGGGGGAATGAGACAGCCGGGGACAATTAAACGAATGAATGCAATGTAAACGTAATCCGAGACGCAATCTGGACTTAGCGGCGGGATTAATATGAAACTAATCCATAGCCAGCTGAGACTTTGCGTGTCTTGTCGGTTTATCCGGGATCTATGAATCTGGATCGAGCTTGGACCGTGTATATATATATATACACATACATATGTATCTATCCGTGTAATTCGAACTAGCGTCGAAATTAATTCCGCTTTAGTTCCGGAGACATACTGTGGACCATGTAGCGGGGATTTGTTCCATGTTGAACTTGAAGCAAGTAGCATCTTGTTCGTGACGCGTTTTCTTCGGCAATTACAGTGTCTTCTGGAATATATATATGTATGCACCGTTTCGATATCCAATTATACGTAGAATAGTAACGTTTGGTTATTTGTTTCATATAGATCCACCGTCGACACTTAGTATCACCGGTTACCAAGAGGGGACGACGATCGACGCTGGTACATTACTGGAATTGAAGTGCACCGCAATTTCCGGAAATCCCCTCGCCACGTTGAGCTGGTACAAGAACGACAAAAAGGTGAGTGAACTGTCTGTTTCATTGAGAAATTAAGAGCTTTTTGCGGGGCTCGGTGGTACCTTCAGCGGGGTGACTTAATGAGATTTCGAGGGAGCGATTCAACGAGGATTTTAATTCAATTAAAATTATATATTTATACGAGGATCGTGTATCCTCGATTTTTCATTATTGTCACCTGTTTTATTCCCAACGTGTTTGCAATTACGTTCTTTAACCGTAGGAAGCCTGAGGCTAAATTGGAAAGATTAATTTAATTGCAAGAAAAAAAAAAGTTTCAATTACAATCATTTTCTTTTAAATAAGCACACTTGCGCTGTGCTCGAATAACCGAGACAGCGTTGTTTCACCGTCGCTAGTAATGACGTACGCATATCCGGCGAAAAAGTAGGTCGCCGCGTTTCCGGAAATTTCGGCCGCCATTCACGTTTGCGACGCTTTACTTCAAAGTCCTGTATCTCGGGAACCAGACGAGATATCGGTTTCAAACAAAATACGTTTTCAAGATTACAGTTCCCTCTATCTCTCGAATGGATTTGGTTTGTATATTGCGCGATTTTCTGGCTGATCTTGCGAACGTCAAGTTTGAGTTACAATAACACCTACGTGTTGTATCGCGAATTTTGAGAAATCTATTCAGGAACGTGACGTATTTTACAGTATTATCGTTATACATAAAGATGATCGTTAGGCGTGAAATTAATTTTTAAAGAAATTCATTCGTTCATATTTCAAAAGGGATAAATGTGAATTTTATTAAAATTAACAAGAATATTCGTATTATTTGTACTGCATGAAATACAGCGTGCCTCGTGTTATGTCCTGTTGAACGCAAAAATTTGTCACTTTAATTGATTGAAGTGAATAATTGCCGCCAAGGAAATATATTAATATCACCGGAAATTAATGTTAATATTCCAGAGTTAGCAATATATATGATATAATATTCAAAATGCTCTACAAAATAATAATCGTTGTTTCAATAAATTATCGTGTATGTATATAGTTTATATTGAAACTACCTAACTAGGAACGAAAATAAAATAAAAAATATAAAACTATACTTAAACGGAAAAGGAAACGTGCACGCCCTGTACTGGAACGAACATATTTGTATAAAATTCGTTACGATCAAATGGTAATAATGTTTCTTAAGTGGACCAACAACTTTAACGTCGCTTTTTCAAGCCTCGACCCGCATATACCTGAGAACACAAACACAAACGTACACTTTCTGTTTTAGGTACAGGGAACCAAGAAACCGCGAGACCACGCAGTTTCCAGTGAGCTGACGATACTCGTAAACGCGTCCGACAATAACGCGCGCATACGATGCGAGGCGGTGAATTCCGCCACCGAAATTCCTCTGCTCAAAGTGCTCGTCCTGAAAGTCAACTGTAAGATCCGATAAAACGCTTGTTACAATATAATATTATAAAATATCTTGGAAAAAATTCCACCACATTTTTAAATTTTCATCCCTTGAAAATTTTCAACCCCTATAATTTCAAACTCTCAAACGTTTCACTCGCTAGATTTTTAATCGCCCGACTGTCAACACTCTGAAATTTTTGAATTTTCTAACTAATTTTCTTACCCTTCTCTATACGTCTGGATTCTCAAAATTTTTAATTCGAAAATCTCTCGAATTTCTCTCTAAAAACCACGAAAACCTCTTGTCGCAACTATTCACAAATTTCATTTACCAAGTTCACTATACTTTTCAGATTTTCGACAGGAACTTTCGGATATTGGATTTGAAATTTTCGAAAATTTTCACGTCTCGAAGTTTCTCTCTCTGCCTTCTCTCACTTACCGAACGTTCAACTCCCAAATATTCACCTATACAACGCTGAAATTGAAAATTTTCCAACCGC